TATATGGAAACATAAATGATCCCAAATAGCTGCAGCAATTTTGCAGAAAGAGCAAAGCAGAAGGGATCACAATACCTGATATCAAACTGTATTACAAGGCCACTGTAATCAAAACAGCCTGGTACTGGCATAAAAATAGACATTCAGACTAATGGAACAGAACAGAGAGCCCAGAAATAACCCCAAGTCTCTACAGTCAATTAATATTTGACAAAGGGAGAGAAGCATAAAATGGAGCAAAAATAGCCTCTTCAACAAATGGTGTTGGGAGATCTGGACAGCTACATGCAAAAACAGTGAAACTTGGTCACCAATTTACACCATACAAAAATAAATTCAAGGTGGATAAAAGATTTAAATATAAGTTGTGACACCATAAAAGTCCTAGAGGAAAACATCGGCAGGAAAGTCTCAGACATTCCAGGTAGCAACATCTTCATGGATATGTCTCCTAAAGCAAGAAACATAAAGGAAAGAATAAACAAATGGGACCTCATCAAATTAAAAAGCTTCTGCATGGCTAAAGAAAACAGCATTAAAATGAAATGAGAACCAACTATATGGGAAAACATATTTGCCAATGATACCTTGGACAAGGATTTGATCTCCAAAATATATAAAGAACTTACATGACTCTACTCCAGGAAGACAAACAACCCAATTAAAAAATGGGCAAAAGACTTGAACAGACATTTCTCTAAGGAGGACATACAGAAGGCCCAGAGATGTATGAAAAGATGCTCATCATCACTAGCCATCAGACAGACGCAAATCAAAACCACAATGAGATACCACTTCACACCAGTCAGAATGGCAATCATAAACAAATCAACAAACCAGTGTTGAAGAGGATGTGGAGAAAAGGGAACCCTAGTGCACTGTTGGTAGGAATGCAGACTGGTCTAGCCACTGTGGAAAACAGTATGGAACTTCCTCAGAAAACTAAAAATAGCTATTCTGCTGCTGGGGTTATACCCTAGGAGCCCTGAAACACTAATCCAAAAGAACCTATGCACCCCAATATTCATAGCAGCACAATTTACAGTAGCCAAGTGCTGGATGCAACCTAAGTGCCCATCAGCAAATGAATGGATCAAGAAAGTTTGGTACATTTACACAATGGAATTCTATACAGCAGAGAGAAAGAAGGAGCTTGTACCCTTTGGGACAGCATGGATGCAACTGGAAAGCATTATGCCAAGTGAAATAAGCCAGGGGGTGAGGGACAAATATCTTATGATTTCACCTTTAACTGGAACATAATCAACAAAAGAAAAAAGCAAACAAAATATAACCAGAGTCATTGAAATTAAGAACAATCTAACAATAGCCAGAGGGGAGGGGGGAGGGGACTGTGGGGAGAAGGGTTTTCAGGAACTACTACAAAGGACACATGGACAAAACCAAGGGGGAGGGTGGAAGCAAGGGAGGGAGCTGGGTTTGACTGGGGTGGGGGGGAGTTGTGGGTGGAAAGTACAGACAACTATAATTGAACAACAATAAAGTAATTTAAAAAAACTTAGCATATTTTTCTAACTATATGACCCACTTTTTTACTACATTTTTTGCTTCAAAATTTTTTTTCCTGTTTTCCTCCTCTAAAACTTACGTGCGCCTTATGGTGCAGACCCCAGATGCACTTAAGGTTTAGAAAAGGAAAATAGGGGGGAAAATTTTTAAGTAAAAAATGTGGTAAAAACGTGCATCTTATAGTCAGAAAAATATGGTATATTTATAAGGAGTGAAGACTTAATATATTTGAGTTTTTGTCTTTCTATATTAAATATATCATATAAATTTGACAATTATGAATAGAAAGAGATTTTTTAGCTGAATTTATCATTTTCTTTCACATAAGGATTATTAATTTGGGGATACCTTTTACTGTTAGGTGGGAGCATTATTAACACTGCTCTGTATGACCGTATATAAGTAAACAGTACAGTTTCGTCTGAGCATATTCAAATTCATTTGGTGTTTGAGAACTTTAATAATGCTCATTAGCAAAATGACACCTTGATAATTACATCATTGTATATGAAGACATCTAAACATATTTGTTTTAGTTAGGGTGATATTACTCACTGTAACTAATACATACAAAAGGTATAGAAGCCCAAAAGCTACAAGTTTATTGCTTGTTCTCACAGCAGTGTGAAAGAGGAAAACAAGTTGTTTGAAGAGCTGCTTTCTGTGCAATTATTCAGCAACCAGGATGTCATGTCTGTCCTCTTCATCACATTCTTTTCCAGTGTCACTTTGGAGGTCACCTCCATTTCAAACAGATGGATGAGTACATAGGGAAAGTTTTTACAAGCTAGTTCTAGAAGTAGCAGACATCAATTTAGTCTTATTTCATTGGTTGAAACTCAGTCACATGCCCAGAAGGTAGCATTAAAGGAGGCTGGAAAATATATTCCAGTGTGCTCAGAAAAGAGAGAGAATGTACTTCAGTTAGTAGCCCACAGTTTTTCCCATAGTCTCTTTCTGGTCATGAAATAGCCATGCATATCCTGTTTCCTGCCTCCTCGCAAGGGAGATCCAAAAGTTTCCTATCTACTGCATTCAGCACAAAGTGGAGGACATACAGCCAAACTGCAGTGTCCGCTCTCAGTCTGGAATGAGGTTGCTTGAGGCTTACAGACTATGAAGTTTACTTACTCTTCCTGAGCCTCACCAAACCCCTAATGAATAATGATGAAGCAGAAGATAAACAAATAACATCTCCAATAACTGCTCCCATTTTGACAGGGAAGAATGGAGAACACAGGAGTCATTGATCTGTCATGGGGATGAAATCTGCTACACACAGGACCACTAGAAGGCCCATTGTACCCACCCCACCACTAGTGGAGCCAAACACTAAACACTAAGGAGAATTGCAGTGGAGAAATTAAGAGTCGCCTTCTTTTGCAGAGCACTAAGCAAGAATAGAAGGGAAAGCTATGGCCCAGAAGCCTGAGCTCCCCAATCCAGGATTCAAGTGGGTTTGTAAGGGGTGATGGGGAACAGGTATGTAGAAGTGCTGCTGGAGCACGTTTTAATTGGAGGACCTCAGAGTTTGGCCATTCATTGTAAAAAGGCTTCAGCATTGATCTTCCTGGACAATGGGCCTTTTCGCTTTTGAAAGGCTTCCAGTGTTGCAGGGTAGGGGAGAGATAGGGTGAGTCTTTGGCTCCTGGGTACAACTGGAGGTCAAAGTTCTCTCTCCACATGTTTTGGCTATATGACTTGTGGTTTTGGTCCCTTTTCTCTGAAAAGCAACTCAGTGTCTTGTTAAATTGATTAGGACCTTTTTAAGCTGGTTCAGTGGTTACACTTAGATCCTGATTATGATTTTTTTAGATAAATTTTCTTGTCTATTTTCCATGGCTCTGCCTGCTATATGGTTCTCCTTTCTGTTCTCGTATATGAAGTGGATGTTACAAATCTACAGTGTTTGCTTTGCATGAAGGCTCACACTTTGCTGCATTAAGTTTAGAGGCCCAATGGTTAGTTTTCACTCACAGACTTGTTTTAGGTGGAAATTCTGGTTTCCTCAGATTTTAGTAACTTTCTTAGCATTTCTAGTTAGTTCCATGTACCAGTAAACACACTGCAGTGTGCGTCCTAGATATAGTTCTCTTATCTGCATCCTTTCCTGCTTCCTTTCTGTACTTTAGGACTTTCTATGCTTTTCTCTTTGCACCCAAATAGTGGCTGCCTTCAGATGATCCGAAAGAGCAGGATCTGGAGAGAGAGGGGCATCCTTAGTCTCCGCTTTGTCTCTATTTTTTTTTTAAGTAAGATGCCTTAGTAGTCCTTAGTGCTTTGTTCTTCAACACCCTTTTCACTTTTATTCCCAACTATTTGGCTTTTAGAAGTTGGCTTTTCCAATCTTGTTAGTTTCTAAAATATTTGGCTTCATAGTCCCTTATATTTTTGCTTAAACACTGGTCTGTTCTTGCCTGACTTCATCTTTATCTTGTAGCTTCCTTATCAGAGCAGAGGAACAACATTCAGGCACCACTCCAGGAACTCTTAGGTCTATATTGAGACCCCACCAATGTATCATGCACTCAGTCATAATAGAGTTCATTCCTTTTTCATTAGAGTACTGCGTTGGTAAACAGAATACTCTGCTACAGCCCCAGCTGACCAAGGTTCTGTATTCCTATAAATGTACTCTTAGGGTTTGTCTAGGGATCATTTACATTCTAGCCAATTAGGGCAGGGGAATGTATGATTCAAGGGGGGAGATTTTTAATGCTTAGTTCTTCAAGTGACACACATCACTTCCATTCATTCTTGACAACTCATTGACAACACATTTGAACTGAAGTTAGGAAATACAGTCTAACTCTGTACCAGGGAGAGAAGGAGAATATGAATTTTAGTTAGTAGGTTATCTCAGCCACAATATTTAAACTAAAAAAAAATTCTAGGATTTGAAAGATATGTAGTGAATTAAATCAAACAGTCCATATAACATAGTAAGAATGAGAATATTAATAAATGGCAGTAGGTTAAGCCGTTTTAAAGAAAAGAGGCAGAACTAGAATTCAAATTCCTGCACTTTTGTTGTTACTTATGCCATGTTTTATAGAACAAAAGTCAGAGTATCTGAGACTCAAACTTCAGGCTTGTTGGGTAGCAAAGTAGGTAACTGGAAAGAAACACACTGCCAAGAACAAGCCTACAGCCTCAAACCAACTGCATACATACTATATTATTTTCACATTTACAGATAATGCTCTAATAGTGTGTTAATTGAGCATTGATAGTGCTTGATAAAATGAGTGTTGCCAAGAACAAATGATTGGAATATTTACCTCCAATTGTATCCATGATAATTTATTTGAAATAATTTTGTGTTCTTTACTGATATCTAATGGGAATAAGTCAAAGGCACTTTTACCTATTGCTTTAGAAGTGAATTTTATGGGATAAATTATTCCTGAATGTTGTGGATAGTACTTTTGATTTTTTAGGACTTCACCATAATTTTTTTTTCTTTGCAGCAGGCATTTTGGAAAGCAAAGATGGGGAGAAAAGTTGCCTACACTATAAAACTTCCTGTTGACCAGTACAGAAAGCAAATTGGTAAGCAGTGACTTCCCTTTGATACATTCCTGCAAATTAAGATAAAGAAAAGAAAATTATATGTGGTATGAAGAAAATAACTTTACCCTAATACATATGGTATGCAGAATATTAGTAATGAGAGAGTATGTAAAGTTTTCAAGGAACAAAAAATAAGTACAGATCAGCCTACCAATGGGAAAATACCTTTTGTGTACCTGTGATTTTTCAAAACTCTTATAATTTTTATTAATTTAGTAAAACCAAAAAATATTTTTATTCTTAAGGCCTTGCTGGTTTTATGTAATTAGTGTTTTAAATTAAAGCTTATCTATGTAAAACTTTTAATTCTGTTTTAATTCTGTTGTCTATTAATGGTAATTATTTGATAACTTCAAAATTCTTTTTTTAAATTTATTTTTATACGTAGCAAGTGTGGCCCCCACATCCACAAGAGGAAGAGAAATTCTGTGTCTGCACCTCCCTAAGCGCAGGGTCACAGGTCCCCTGGTTGTCCCTCCTGCTGACACAACCCAAACACCCTGACTCGTCCTCCACTTTCATGTCCCCAGCACAGCCAGGAACCCCTGCTGCTCCTTCCTCCCACTCACAGAAGCTCTACCAAGGCTCCTCCTGGCTCCAGCACCCCACCTCCCACCACAACCCCTTCTGCAATGGGCTGAAACTTCATGGGGCACCTGGATTTGCTCCTTCCCTTTCCCACAAAGATTTCCCATCTAAAATTGCCATCTTCATTTTCAGTGCACCCCTCTTCACTCTCAAAAGCCTCTCAGAGGTCACCTGTTACTTGAATACAGTCAGCCACAGGCAGCTCAACTCCCACCCATGTCATTTGCAGACAGCTGTCCCTCTTAGGAAGTTCTGTAATTTCCTTCTAAATAAGATGAAGCTCATCTCCAGATACTGCTGTAACAGTAGTGCCTCTGTCCCTTGAATCACCCTTAACCCTCTAAAATAAGGTGTGAATTAAGGGGGTCTCTCCAGGCAGGGCCAGCATTCACATTTATACATAAATAGGGAGCCTTTGAAAAAAAATTATTGTTCAGTTACAGTTGTTCCCATTTTCCCCCATTACTCTTCCCTACCCTATGCATCCCCACCTCCCACATTCAATCCCTGCCTTTGTCTTTGTCCATGGGTCCTTTATACATGTTCCTTGACTTGACCCTTCTAGAATTTTACCTCAGTAAAATGATGGACTGGAGGAAAGTCTACTTATCAGCATAGAAAGATAACAAGAAGCTTACCCGTTTTAGACTATGCTCTAGATAATATAGGATCTTCTACCTATTCTTTTCAAGAATGCATAGAATATTTATTAAAAAATTATCCACATACTAGTCACAAACCAAGTCCCTAAAGTCCTACAACCACAAACCTGAACAAAGTGTAGCAAATTAGGAATCAAGCAAAAAAAGGTAACTTACCCTTACCAACTCCTTCCTTATTTTTCACATTTTTCTTCTACCCATTCTCATTTTTTTGGATATTAAAAAAAGTTAATAAAAAACTTTTTAGGTAATTGAAGAATAAATAGAGGTTAGCAATGGAAATCAGAAAATAAGTAGAAATAATTGATATTGAAAGAATATATACCTATTTCATAAATATGATACACAAGTTGCTCTCCATAAAGGAAAAAATATTTCTGTAAAATAAAAGAGATGCAAAGTGAAAAAATATTTATAATACATATAACCAATTAAAAGTTCTATGTAGAAAAATAAAGTCCTACTACAAGTAAATAAAATAGTCTAGAAACCCATAGTAAAATGTACAAAAAGGAGATAATTCTAAAAAAAGAAATTTAAATAGACAAATAAACAACAAAACAAACAACTATTACAATAAAAAATGAAATTAAAGGGTGTTATATAAATATCTAATTCACCTAACTGGGAGTTAGATAAATGCAAATTATAAAACAATATTTCTAACTGAATAATTTCTACAAGGGAGGTTTATGATGTTTGATTTATTTCATATTATCCTTTCTTCACTTATAGGATGGCTTATGGATAAGTAATGAGTTCTTATGTTGTTTATATGTGTAAATAGAAGGACTGACTTACCAGATTGAAGTCTCTGATCAAAATGGAATGTGTTAACCACAGAGATGAAGAGTAACCATATTGTGAATCAGTCTACAATCCAACTCTTAGACATATGGACAATCTAGAACACATCTATCTCCTCAGATAGCTCCTTGTATCTGCATTATGTTCCCATAGAAAGTTCTCTTTTCTGTTCTACTTACTCTGCAAAATACAGGGTGGGTCAAAAGTAGATTTACAGTTGCCAGTATGTGAAACACAGAGTTTATTCTTATAATATTATTTATTAATTATTGTGTCATTTTCTATGTGAACAACTGCAAATGTACTTTGGACCCACCCTGTATAAATTATCCCATGACCCACCTGTCTCACAGGGCTCTTGTGAGGTTTGTGAGAAATATCACAGCAGTTGGTAAACTAAGTGTTGCTTGGGTGTCACAGAATATGAGTTACTCTGTGTACTTTGCAAATACAGTGCTGATAATCAAACAAAATATGTTAAAATTAGGGTAGTGAGGGCTTACTTTTTTTTAGTCTTTTTAAGGACAATGCCCTGCAGATAGATGTAAGATTCTCATACATACACTCTAGAATGTCATATAAATAGAAGGTTTTTGTAAAGATAGAGAAAGAAATGAAATAGAAAAGCTATTAATTAACTAATAAAAATAATTAACATACCTCATTCAAGGATTTTCTCAAGGAAGGGTTTTCTGATTTTCTGTGACAGAGTTAGCAAGTACCACGAGCCTGCACTCACACTGATGACACAGGTTTTCTGTTACTGATAGCATCTCTTTTAAACAGAGCCCTGTGCAGATGTTCCCAAGATACAATCCAAAGTGTGAGGAAGGGCTCAAAGCAGCTAGAATGATCTTGGGGAGGTATTTCAGCTCTGGTATTTTAAAAAATTATAAATAGCAAATGAAGTATTACACTGTTTTGTGAATATTAAAGTTATTAGTAAGCTAATTTAGTTTGCTAATAAACTTTCACATGTGTGTGTAATGTCCCCTTTCTACTAAACCTCATTTACATAACCTTAGTATGGTCAGTCAGTAATTATATTTGGCAAGACTAGTACCATTCTTGGAATAATGACTTTAACATTATTGTTTACTATTTATCATCTGGTAAAAGTTTTGCCTTTCAATTATGTACTAAATGACAGTGATTAATGGCTTTCATAAAAGCCTTTTTTTAAGATAATATTCTTTGCTCAGGTAAGAATCAGGTGAGCTGACACTGTCACTGGAAATACCTTGTAGTTATAGAATCTTCAGAGTACGTGGATGCTGTTTTAATTATTGTAGCATGATCTTGAAGTGTGTACTGAACCAAGGTGAAAAACCTCACTTCAAGGCAATAAACTAAGAAAAATGAAATACTACTGACTACAAGGGGAAATAAATTGGCTTGGGCCTTATCATTTCTTCAGAAATAATTTTTAAAAAATAGATGGTATGACATTGGCTAATATTCCGTGTATTATTCTAGAGATAAATAATTTCAGAATGAAAGTAGGAATTTTATAAACTGTTTTAACATAAGATATTTTATAAATAGTTGTTATTAAGTATATCAATCCAAATATTCATATGTGCTAGGCAAATTATATAAAAACACAACTAATTTACTTCTAAAACTCGATTTTCTTATATAATAGAAGTAGCTAACAAATATTAGACATCTTGTGCTGGGAACATCTTTTTTTATCCTCACAGCAGTTTTATGAAATAGGAACTATTATTACCTTAACTATTACAGATCAGGAAAACTCAGCATAGATGGTTGAAGAATTTTCCCAAGGTTCTACAATTGGTAAGAGTTAGAACCAGGACTCAATTTCAAGAAATTGACCACAGAAGCCCTTTACTATACTACTTCCCTGGCCATATATTAGGTATTGGCAGATGTAAAGATATTTACATCTTTACATCTTACTACACCGTAGCTGTGGCTAGAGTCTCAGTATCTTTGCTCCTAATGTAGAAATACTAAGGCCAAAATCCAAAATGTGATTCTTGCATTTCTTAATTCTTTCTGTATTTATCAAACACCTAAGACTTTATTATAGTTTATTTATCCTATGTAGTTGTATACATATTTACCACTTCCTTTGTCCTAATTCTCTTTTCCATCCCAGACCTTCTATGATCCTTGAAATCATTTTCTTTGTGACCGATGGACATTTTTTTTAGAACTTCCTATATCTGCCTACTGTGACGAGTTCTCAGTTTCTTTCTTCTATGAGATTGTCATACCATTAATTTTGAAACATGTTTCCTCCGCTTATAGAGTTCTCATTTGGCAGTTTCTATTTTTATTTCATTATGTGCTCTTTCAGCACATGAGAATATCATGCCACTGCATTTAGACTGTTATTTTTGCTGCTGAGAGTCAATCTAAATGTTGCTTCTTTGAAAATAACAGTAACATATTAGACATATTTGCTGTAATTTCTATATTTAATTGATATTATTTAATTTTACAATACCTTTTTTCTTCATCAACGTTGACTGAGACTTATCCAATTGTACACACATTATAAAGAGTTAGCTTTTGTTACTCTAGGTTCTACTGAGGGGTTTTTTTGTGTGTGATTCTACTCTTTATGATTTCCTTCATTTTAATTCTTTAACTTTTTCTTTAGATATTTGAGCTGGATGCCTACTATTTATTATTCAAATGTTTTTTTTACTAATATACTCATTTAATAGATCTGTTTTTTTTCATTATATCATTGGCATCATTACATTATTTAGAGCTTTCTTAAATTGTTCAGTTACATGAATTATATATTATATAATATATATTCAGTATAATATCTATTGAATTATGTATATTAGTGATAAATACAGATATATATGTATTTCAAATTGTTTTTAACCTGATTAATTTTTATTTTCAGAGAATATTTTCAATATGATGTCAGATATGGAA